AAATAGATAAACTTGTGCCTAAGGTGAATCAGACCAGGGTTAAGAGGGATAAAGCTTCCAGGCGGCAAACCATTGCGCCAAAGGTCCCCAATGGGTTAAAGTTACAACAAATTTTATTTGACTTGTAAAAGTTTGTTAAGGATAAAAAATTAAACAAATTATTTGTTTAAACAAATTATTATTTAATTAAATAAATTATTAACGACTAATAATTTTTAAATAAATTTTGGTTCGATTAACGGTTAAAGAAAAAAAATCAGTTAATTCGGTTCGGTTAATCGAACAAAAATTTATTTGATGATTATTAACCGAACCGAATTAATTTGAAAATTGTTAACTGAACCGAATTAACCAATTTTTTTAAAAAAAAATTATTAATCGAAGCAAAAATTAGGTTAATTCGGTTCGGTTAATCGAACCAAAATTAATTCGTAAATTATTAACCGAACCTAATTAACCGATTTTTAATTATTAATCGAATTAATCGAAGCAAAAATTCGGTTAATTCGGCTCGATTAATCGAACCAAAATTTATTTGAAAATTATTAATCGAACTGAATTAATTTGAAAATTATTAACCGAACTGAATTAACCGATTTTTTTAATTATTAATCGAAGCAAAAATTCGGTTAATTCGGTTCGGTTAATCGAACCAAAATTAATTTGAAAAATATTAACCGAGCCGAATTAATCGATTTTTTTCTTTAACCATGAATTGAACCGAAATTTATTTGAAAAATATTAACCGAACCAAACAAATTTCGTTTAATTCTGTCAATTTTTGAATTAACGATTTTTTTTTAATATTTTCTAATTTATATAATAATTTGTTTAATTTTTTATCCTTAACAAACTTTTACAAGTCAAATAAAACTTGTTGTAACTTTAAATCATTGGGGACATTTGGCTTAATGGTTTGTCGCCCGAAAGCTTTATCCCCCTTTTTCTTGGTTCGATTCACCTTGGGCACAAGTTTGTCCATTTATTTTCATTTCATTTGAGTGGTGACATGTGCCACCACCTGATTAGATAGAAAATTTATTTAATTAAATAATTTGAAATTCATAAATAAAATCTTCCAATTATATATTGACACGTGTTACATTTTAATTGGATAGTTAAATTTATTTAATTGAATTAAAATAGCGACTAAATTGATAGAATATGTAAATATTAAGGACCAAATATATAATTATGCCAATTTATTAATGGACACATCACCACATCTGTTAAAAATTAACGGCGCGGTGGTCTGATTGAATCAATTAAAAGTTTGGTGGTCTGATTGAGATAAAAAAAAGTTTAGTGGTCTGATTGAGATAAAAAAAAGTTTAGTGGTCTGATTGAGACAAAAAAGTTCGGTGGTCTCCCGTGTAATTTACCCTTAAATTTATTTTTCTCTAATCAAAGGGACACATGTCACCTCTTATTTTAAAAAAACAAATGAAAGTAAGTTGGCATTTGAAGGAATCAATCCACGGACACTAAGTTGCCAAGAAAAATGAGCAACCACTAAGGCAAGGATTATTAAATATTTTATATTTTACAACACATAGTATATATCTTGTATGCATATTTTTAAGATTTAATTTAAATTTATAATATTTTATATATATTAACTTAAATTCATATATAAGTTTAAATATATATTTTATTTTTATCCAACTTATTAAGTATATTTTATTTTATTTAAAAATATATTTATTCTTATTATATTTATTATATCTTAACTTCAAATAAATATTATTAAAACAATATATTTTATTCTTTTATTAACTTAAAGAATATATTTTATTATTATCTTAACTCCAAATATATATATATATATATATATATATATATAATTCTTGTATTAACCTAAAAAATATATTTTTTAAATATCTTAAGTTAATAAAATAATCAAATATATTATTTGAATTTAAATTAATAACAAAATATATTTTAAGTTAATAAAAGAATAAAATATGTTTTCAAATTTAGGATAAAAATAAGACACGTTTTAAAATTAAAATAAAATATAAAATATATTTAATTATTTGAATAAAAACTAAATATATATATATATATTTAAAGTTAGGACATGAATTTAAGTTGTTGTTTTTGAATTAATCATCAGTGTTCGATCTATTGATCATCTAATCTAAATCGGGTATTGCAGAGATGAGGGAGACCATTCCAACGCATGTTACTCCATTCGCAAATACCAGGATTTGAACTTACTAGACCAACTGATTGTTGGTAGACATGAATTTAAATTGAGATGTATAAAATAATATGAAATTAAATTAAATTTTAAACATTAAATATACAAGATATATATCATATGTTGTAAAAAGATAAACAATCTAATATCCTTACCTTATGGTTGCTCATTTACATGTTGATCTAAGCGGTCCTGGTTCGGGCCTCTTTAAAGTTAACACCTTTTATCTCTCCTCTTGTAATAAGAGGAAAATATATTTAATGAATCATATACATTATAAATAAATTTAACTATTCAATTATAAATTGACATATCATAATTTAATTAGATAAATAAATTTATTAAATTTAATTAAAATTAAGATTAAATTGACATTGGTACATGTAATTATGCCAAATTTTTTAATTGATATATCATCATCTCTATTAAATTTTATCAACAAATAACTTAATTGAACTATTTAAATAATTGAATGATATAATTGATAAAATTAAAATATCACTAATCAAGATGAAATAAGATAATTACTGATTGGTTATCCATATAATTTACTACTTTTTAAATCAACTCAAATTTTATACACTATTAAAAACCATCATTGCGGCAGGTTTTAGTAGAGATGGCAACGGTTCGTGTCGAATTTTCACCAGTTTCGACTCCGACCTGACATAATAAACCCATAACCCGAATCTGACCCGACTACGGACCCAAAAAATCAATGATACATCCTATCCCGATCCGACTCCGACCCGTCATATATTACCAGAAACAAAAGAAGTGAAAAATTGCATTCAACACAAAAGCAAAAAACCCAGACCCAGAGATAAGTCTACGAGCAGAAAAGAAATTTAAACAATGAAGTATGAAAACAAATAAAAATTTATTAACAAAAATTTTGAAGAATGCCATGGAAACTAAAGAAAATCAAATAAACAAATCAAATCAAAAATTAAAAATAAGTTAAATAAAAAACAATGAAACAACAAAATCTAGATTTTTCATAAACAAAAATAAAAGCCTTGAAGAAAATTTGCTCTAAAATACAAAAAAAAAGCCAATAAACTTAAAAAACTAAAAATCTCAGATCTTGAACAAAAACAAGAACAAAAGCCCTAAAAAGGAGAGCATATAAATGACGAAACAATAAATTAAAGTTTAGTTTTTTGTCATTCAAACATTTGAATGAAATAGATAAGATTCAGAATAAGAAACGAAAGAATTTTGGGAGATGGGGATAAACTTGCAGCAGAGAAAACGAGAAGGCAAAATCAAACCCTGAACTATATATATATAATGACATTTTCGTAAATAAGTTAAAATATATAATGCAATTAAAAATATTTGGATTGGGTCGGGTCGATTTTTTGACCCATAACTTGATTCTTACCTGAACTCAAAAATCTTATACAGTTAATCCAACTCGAACTCAAAACTTTTTTAAAAAAAATTCGTGTCGGGATCTATCGGATCCGAGTGAAGTTGTCAACTTTATATTTTACTTTTTTTGGTTGAGTACGGCTGTTATTAAACCTAATTTGCTACTATGTCCGGAGGAGGCGGATTTTACATTTCAGTAACAACTAACGAGGTTTTGAGAATCAAATGACCTGAAAATGAGTTCCTAGCTAAGCACGTCGGCTGGATTTCTCAAATGGCTGAAATCATGAAGAGGGCTTGGGCTGGGCTGGGCTCTAAACACCATTTTCATCTAAATTATGTTAATATTTCTTTATTAGTTTCTCATATTTAATGACGTTTACTACAGCAAATGATCTCGATGTGCCAAAGGTGAACTATATTCAATCACCGAAAACATTGTTAAGAATAATATATGATCATTTTCATTTTTATTTAATTAAGATGTGTTCATTACGGTTAACTTTTGTTAACATCTATAAAAAACAAAATTGACCACATATTATATATCCTAAAATCAATAAAGAAAAATGGATAAAACATAAATATACGTGATCAATCATGTAATTAACTCGAAATGAATTTCATACGGATCAAAAATTTGTATTTAGGGTTATGAGATTTTATTTAAAATATGTAAAGGATGCGAAAATTCTAACATGGATAGTTTTTTTTTATTAAGCTAAGGTGATTATAAAGTAATATATGTTCTAAATACTCTCAACCATCTGACAATGACTGCTTAATCACCATGCTGAAGTCGTTGATGCTTGAACCCGTAACCTCTAAAAATAACTACAATTTCTTTAACCATTAAGATAATTAGTTCGTGCATTTTATTTAACTATAATTATTATATTCATATAATTATATAAATGTATGTATTTAGAGTTACGAATTTTTTTATACTCTCATATTATCCTCTTATAATTCGTCGTCGGCTATAATGAATTACTATTCCCATACTACTCATTTTTCTCTTTTAAAATTTTTGACGTAAATATATATTTTTTGCGACAGTTTATTCGACATTGTCCGTATCAAAAAAGTTTAACCCATATAATAATGGCTAGGCCTTGGTTACTGCTTTGTCTATTTGTTTATCGCTTGGTTTTGTAATATTAGTACATGCATTCGTTTCCTCCAATTAAGTCAGGGAAATTGTACTAATTTTCTTTGTATGATTCCTTGGTTAATGATGAACCCGAGATGTCGTTGTTCCATGATCTCTTGTTTCATCTTGCAAACACATGATCATTCTTTTGCAACTTTTTAATCACTTATTTCCAAACTTTACATACAGAAACCAACCACAGTTTTCAACCAAAAGAGGTGGGAATAAATAAATAAATAAAATACTATATAGAGTTTTGCTCCTCAACTCTCTATTATCTATATAGCTTAACTACCCATGTAAATCTCAACTTGTTCTTATTAAACTACTTGAAAGCTAGCTTTGCATTGGAAGTGGATGAGTATAGCAATGAAGATGCAGAAAAGCTTGTGCTGCTGCTTTGGGGATATGAGTTTTGGATCATTGATGGTGGTGACTTGCTGTTTCCTCGCTGATTACTCTCCGAATCCGACGAGCCATTACGAACCATGTCTACTTTCGTACACTCTTCCCTCTCCTGCTTTATTTCCTTCAGCATCGCTGCTACATCTTTCATGGTAGGCCTGTCATCAGGGGAAGGGTTTACACATAGCAATGCGACCCCTATAGTCTGCAACATTTCATCGATCTCGGATTCCTGCCTCGGTTGCAACCTCGGGTCGAGCACTTCGATCCCTCCTCTTTTCTGCCTGACCCAATCTACAATGTGGAGTCCATATGGTATGGTCGGATCAATCGGTTGCTTGCCTGTCAAGACTTCTAACACAACAACTCCATAGCTATACACGTCACTTTTCTCGGTTATTTTCTTCATGTAGCCATACTCTGCAATAACATAAAACCATATGAGGCTTACAGTTTTCCTTTAATCATCACATATATGCTGCAGTATATAAGAAATTTTGAACTAACCAGGGGCAATGTAACCGTAGGAGCCTGCGACTGTGCTAGAAGACCGAACGAAATCTCCGTTATCAACGAGCTTCGCAAGTCCAAAATCAGCAATGTAGGATTCAAATTGGAGACCAATGAGAATGTTGTTGGCCTTGATATCTCTGTGAACAATGGGAGGGACACAGTCATGGTGTAGGTAAGCCAAACCTTGCGCCGCCCCCAAGATGATTCGATATCTAAGGTCCCATTCCAAGCAGCTTCCACTGTGCTCATGAAGAAGACTTCCCAAGCTTCCATTCTCCATGTAATCATACAGAAGCAATCTCGTGCTTCGGTTCCAGCAGCAACCTAAGAACTTGACTATGTTTTTGTGGCGGATCGAACCGAGAGTTTTTACCTCGGCCGAAAAGGAATCACGAACTCCGCCTACACCGGCTTTGTCACTATGACAATCATATCCAGCTGCCATTGTTGTTGGCCAGAGCTTCTTTACAGCGATGGTTTCCCCATTATCGAGTTCTACTCGATAAACGATCCCCGAACATCCCTTTCCAATAACATTGCCTTCTACCAAACATTTTAATACTTGATCAACTGAGAAATTCAACTTCTGGAATGGAGTGAATTGCCATGGCCATGAATCCGCTCCCACCTCAGAATCATTATCATCTCCCATCATCTTTCTAGCTCTAAAGACAGCTAAAGCCCCAAAAAATGCTAATGCAATGGCCAAGGTAATAAGTACTGCAATAGTTATTTTTAGTGATCTTTTGAAACCATTATCACTTTGCATACCAGTTGCTGTGGCACTGCTGAGGAAACATGAATCGCGTCCCTTAGAACACAGCCCTTGGTTTCCAGCCATTTCCGTTGCTGATAACTGTCAGAACAACTTGCTGTCAGGAAGGTAGCCGGTGAAATTGTTGTAGGAGATATTCAGAGAAACAAGGTTTTCGAGCTCGGAAAGTGCTAGCAAGTCACCTTCAAGCTTGTTGTGTGAAAGGTCCAATATGGATAGCTTGTTCAGTGCAGAAATTTGAGGTGGGATTACACCAGATAGTGCATTCCAACTCAGATTTAGAGCAATATCAAGAGCTTGGATGTTGAACAGTTCCTCTGCGATCGTTCCGGATATTGCATTGCTGCTAAGGTCAAGCAATTGAAGATTCAAACAATGACCAAGAGAGGAAGGGATTGCTCCAGAGAGAAAGTTTGTGCTAAGTATAAGTCTATTAAGTGAAGTAAGTTGGCCTAAGCTCTGTGGAATTTGTCTTGTAAACTGATTAACAGACACATCCAATACCTGAAGTCTCGTAAGAGACGATAACGAGCCAGGCAAAGGACCTTCAACGGTGTTGTTGCTAAGGTTCAACATCTGCATCTGACTGCAGTTACCTATCTCATTTGGCACTGAGCCACTAAGATGGTTGCCAGACAGGTCAAGGAAGATGAGGTTGTCAAGGAACCCAACCTCTTTGGGGATCATCCCACTGATTCTGTTATTAACAAGCCGAACTCGAATAAGGGAACTGCAATTGCCAATCTCCGGAGGGATCGTGCCCGAAATGCCATTGGAAATCAAGAGAAGCTTTGTTAGATTTTGCAGCTGAAATAAACCTGGCGGCAAGCTACCAGTGAGTGCATTGTGTGACAAATCTAGAGCAGTAAGGCTCCCACAACCGGCCAATGCTGCAGGAATGCTTCCTTCAAGTTTGTTCTGCCACGCAAAGAAGACCGTGAGCTTTGTTAACGTCCCGAGCTCAGCCGGGATGGAGCCTGATATCTGATTAGTATCAAGCTGTAACTGTAATAGGCCTGTGGCATTAGACAGAACTGGCGGTATAGTGCCAGTGATGTTGTTGTTACTAAGCATGAGCTCTTGAAGCTTAGAGAGGTTCCCGAATGACTCTGGTATGCAACCGGAAAAATAATTTAACGAAAGATCAATGGTTATCAAACTTTTGCAGTTCCCTATTTCATCAGGAATGCTCCCCAGAAAGCATAGTTGTATATACCGAGAGAGTTTGGAGTTTGGTTAGCTTACCTAATGAAACAGGGATTGAACCAGAGATTTTGGTTTCAGCTAGGCCTAACACCTTTAGGTTCTTGCAGTCTCCAATCTCTTCCGGGATTCTTCCAGCAATGTCCTGGTTCCCCCCCTGCACGTATAACTTCGATGTTCGACAGTTTACCGAGTTCAACAGGAAGATTCCCGCTTAAATAGTTGTTGAATATGAGGAGTTTCTTAAGGCTGATGCATTCTCCGAGTGCTGCGGGGATCTCCCCTGTGAGCTGGTTGGAGTATAAAATCAAGTCCTGCAAATATCGGAGCTTACCGATACTTGCAGGAATGTTACCAACGAGATTGTTTGCACTAACATCGATAACGGTCAGTCGAGAGCAGTCTCCGATATTCAGTGGAATAGTTCCGGTGAGATTAGCACCAGAAATGACCAGCTTTTGAAGAAAAGGAAGGGAGGAAAGATTGGAAGGGAAAGGAAGAGCTAACTCAACAAACTGGATATTGATTTCAACGACAGAGTTTTGAGAAGAACAAATGATGTATGACCAGCGACAAGGGTTGGGGTCCGAAGAGTCACAGTTGGAGAGTGCTGGAGGAGGTGAAGGGGAGCTATGAAGCCAGATTAGTAATGCAGCAGCTTCACTGTTTGCTGCACAAACATCATACGGAAACAAGAGGAGTGGAAGAAGTAGAAGTGCAAGGCATAGCCTTGGCATGGCCTGGTTCTTGTGGTTTTTGGACTGCCTCGGCATCGGCATCGGCATCCGCAAATATTGCCCCAAATCCCAAACCAGTCCTACTCTTAGATTTGCATTGGGGCTTTCTCTATTTGCTTATCTAAAACTTGAGCTTCCTGTGCTATACTCTAATAATATTACCTTTGCAGACAAGCAAGAAAAGGGTTAGATAAAGAAAGCATTTGAAACCCACACCACAGCACCATCACTACCTTCTCCTCGGGGTTCTGTTTCTTTACCTAGTAATCTTTTATTACATTTGAATATGTTTTGTTAGAGTACTTCTGAACTACACAATGACTTTTGGAAGACGCCTTAATCATTTGACAACTTCTGTAGTGCCACCAGCTATCCTTATCATTATGCATACATGAAGCCTGAAGAAGACGTCATATATTCCGGATGATTTTTAGAAGTCGTTATCTATTCCAAACGATTTTCAATAACTATTGTAGCAAATATTTAAGAAAATAGATTTTCATGCATTCTATAAGGTCAAATTTTGTTTTTCAATACATTATTAAAAAAATGTTCATATGAATTGGTGACTAAATCCATAATTTATTTTATTTTTATAGTTAGCCAAAACTTTGAGGGTAGTCAAGCATCTCGGATTATTTTCTTTTCTTTTCCTTTTCTCAAAGAAGAAAATTTTGATTTCAAAATTGCATGATACTGGTGTTTCAAGGAAAATCTCCAAATCCCACCCTAATAATGCTAAAATAAGATAACCTCTCTACCATGTTTTCAAAACTAGGCGACTATGGTCAAACCAGTGCTTGTGCCAGCAATATGTCTCCAAGTTTTAATTGCCTCAACTGTTCGAATCAGATCAAATATTGATTTCGATCATAGTAGCAAGCAATGTTGGTTAACAAGTGAGCACATGAAAACTCTGAACAAACAATCTTCAAAACGAAGGCTCCTTGTTCCACTCATGATCGGCATCCAAGAAAAGGTTAAATAATACCAATAAAAAGGCAAGAAATGTTAGAAATCTGAAAATAATGTCCCTAACTTTGAGGTGAAAGCCCCATGTGAGTGAACACAATTTCAACCCTTAGCCTGCACTTGCCCCTACTGCGAAACCTTTTAACTCTTAAATTGTAGTAGTATTATAAAACTCATGAGAAAACTAAAAATGTGAGCCCTACCTAATGGCGTTTAAGGCTTTAAAGGGATTCAAAAATGGCTAAGACAGAGCACAAAGCTCAAGGTGGGTGACCTTGGAAACCTCCCATTCCAGGGAATCTAAACACGTTTTGTTCTGTTTTGTAAAACCCGTGATTATTAAAATAAGACAACCAAGTCCTCTTATAAATAAACCAGTCACTTAAAATAGCTTAGTTGCATATTTGTCCCTAGATTATGATCTAATTCTTAATTGATCTCAAACTAATTGAGTCTCAAAGTAAACACACATGCATACCCATTATTTTAGATTAGATAATAAATATAGTTAAATATATTAAAGGAAGAAGGAAAAAATAAGAAATTATGCATACGCATTATATTGAAAAAAGAGTACTAAAATCTTTAGACCCCAATTTCTTGATGTTAACCATGATCATAATAAGATATGATTATAGGTTATACTAAACACACACATATATGTTAACTATGATCATACTAAGATATAGTAAAAACACACACAAATATAAGTCATCCTATCTTGAAGTTAACTATGATCATACTAAGATATGATTATAGGTTATATATGTTGTATAAGGTTCAAAATATTGCAAGAGTTTCAAAACTGTTTCTCAAATTTTAAATTTTTATAATTTAGTCCTAAAATAATATATTAGTTAATTGACATCCAATTTAATTATGTTTATTTTGAAATTCATAGTTTTGAATAAATAAGTGTTCAATCACATGATAATTCAATGAAATGCACGTGTTAATACATATTTTAAATTTTAATTAAAATTTTGCAAATTAATCCCTAAAAGACCAAAAATTGTCAATTGGCAATTCTTTTCAAATACGATTGTTTCAATTATTTAAAAATTATTATTCCATGAATATAGAAGGATTAAATATTGTACTGATTTCTTGTCTTTTATGTTATTCATTTTAAATTAATTATGATTAATGCGAAACATTTTAATAATTAATATGACATCGCTTATTTGATCGAAAGTTCGAGATTACCTAATTTCATCACAACTCAAATATGACATATTTGAGGGGATTAAGATTACCTATCAATATGAGAGAACTAACCCGAAAGTATAAAGTAAAGGTAGATTACAAAATAACCAAATAAAACAACTAGAGAGGCGCCGATAAATTTGATCTTGAAAAAAATGAAAAAAAAATATGTTATGATAATAGAAAAAAAAAGTCACCATTTCTATAGGAGAATAGAAAATTTATTAAACAAAATAAAATAACAAAACTCAAATATAAAAGAATAAAATTGAAGAAATAAAACAGAAAGAAGAGAAAACCTAGATATATGCAAAACAATGTATAATGGGTGCCAGCAGTTTGGGCCAAAGGCCGACGACATTCCCCATAGGAAAAATAAAGGTCACAATTGACGGGAAACCCTAACTAATTATATTTAGTGTAAATTACTTTTTTAGTATTTAAATTATCCTCATTTTAGTAACTAAATTTTTATTTTTTTAATATCATATCTAACGTTTAATTTTTTTTATTTTGATGTCTCGTTTTTTAAAACTTAACGGATGGACTGATGTGGCTTAACTCCAGTGGACGAACAATCAATCTAAACAATGAACCATGAGAGAATGATGAGTCAATTAATATAATCCAGTTTCAGACCTATCAGATGGTGGACCATGGAGATCGGAGGATGAATAAATCAAATAGTTTCATCGTTCATTTGGGGAGATTGAGGCGTTTCTCGATGAAACGGGGGTTGGAATCGTGTTTTGGAGTCAGAAAGGTGTCATATGAAAAGTTTGGGCTTTATCAGCTGACATATGCAATGACAGGCAATTGTAGATGCGGCGTTCAGTTAGTTTATTCATTATGTTTTTAACGACCGGTATTAAAATGAAACAAAAACTAAATATTAGATATGATTTTGAAAAAAAAAGTTTAGGTACTAAAACTGATAATTTAAGTACTAAACATGTAGTTTACCCTTATATTTATATATTTAAGTTATATTTGTACAAAAAAAATATTTTATGAAGTAACAAAAATAAATTCGTACACATAATTTTTTTGAACAATGATAACTAGATTTCATTAACAAAAATAATATGAATTAAAATTACATCCATCCAAAGAGAAAATTTGGTACAATAGTAAAAAAAAATATTAAACCCAAAGATATGAAGAAAAAACAAAATCTTTCATTAAAGAACTCAATAACCTTTTTGTCTCTTTTGAACGAGACACTCTACAAAATGATATAAGAGTGGTGAGCGAACTAAATAATTTGACAAACTGTTTCACTACATAATTTTGATTATATCGACAAACAAACTTTTACCAAAGTGGTGATCTCACAATACATGACTAGGGCTGTAAATGAGACGAGCCAGATCGCGAGCTATTCGAGAACAACTCGATCAAGGCTCGATAAATACTTGGATTGAATGGACTCGACTCGAGTTCATAACGAGCCTAAACGAGCTACTCGATATTCGACTCGAAAAGCTCGTGAGCAGCTCAAAAAAAATGTTATATTATAATTTTAGATTTTTAAAATTACATTATAAAAATTTTATTAAAAATACATTATTCATAATTATAGAATTTTAAAAATATATTAAAAATTCTATAATACAACTACCCTCAAATTTTAATTTTTTTAATTAATCAGCTCAAGTCCAATTGTTACATTGTATATTACAAAAAGAAAAATAAAACCCATTTAATTAAACACATGTTAGATTACACCATAAACTCTAAACCTAAACCTAAACCCTAAATCATATACCATAAACTCTAAATCTTAAATCCTAAACCATAAACACTAAACCTTAGACCCTAAACCCTAAGCCCTAAACTCTTAATCTGATTATGTGATAGGGGTTAAGTTATGCACATGAAGGAAATAAACAAATTATACAAAATGAAATAAATGAAATTAACAAGGGTTTATATGTAAATAAACTAATAAATCGCACTTGGTCAAATCAATCAATAGGTCCATTATCAAAACAAACGGTGATCAAAACATAAAATAAAAATAAATTAACAACCCGAATCATAAAAGTATAAACCTTGATTAATGACGAAATCAGAAGATTACAAATATAACAGGTCCTAAAATGCTAATACTCCATTTCTAAAACACGGGCAATTCTAATATAGTAATATTGATCCAGAATAAGATGAATCTAGACCTTCTTTAAAAAAAAAAGATGAATCTAGACCTGGATAAATAAGTTGGTTCAAATCAAGCAGCTTTCAAATAAAATCTCCGGTAGAACACTGATCAAACGATCAATTGCTCGATCCGATCTCTTGCAAGTAATGTTCAGCTTCCAAGGCTGCCATGCACCCTGCATTGTTACAGAACAAAGTTAGTTTAACTCAACTATAACACCGAGTACACAAACTGTTGGCGGAATTGCTTAAGTTCCTTTTCTTTCTTCTTTCGGTCAGATGAAGTTTAGGTGAACAACGATAATATGGTCGAGGTCAAACATGCCATCGATTCGTAATGAGTTGAAAGTGATACTCACCGATATCTCACCAAATGATACTATTCAAAAGACTCGAATCCTGATGCTTGACCGAGTGCCGATCAATTGTCGAATAAACCGAAGCAATATAGAATGGCCTAAGGTTCTTTTTATATAATTCGCGACAATAGTACTTTGCAGTTTCATTTTCATGGCAGGTATTTCTAATATAGCAGGGTAATGCAAAAAAAGGAATCAAAATAAGAAGAAATTGACTAACCAGTGCCGACTGCAGTAACAGCTTGCCTGTACTTCTTATCCTGCACATCTCCGGCAGCGAAAACGCCGGGCACGCTGGTCTTGGTTGTACCCGGATGAGTGAGAACATAGTCATCTGAGTCAAGCTGTAACTGGCCGTCCAAAAACTTAGTGGCCGGCTCATGCCCGATTGCAAAGAACAAACCGGGCGGAGACTTGCAAGTCGGAAACCTCTCCGGTAAGCACATTCTTCACTTTGAGGCTACCCAAAACCCTATCCCCGTACGCCTCCACGACCACCGAATTTCATATCACCTCTATCTTAGGGTTGGAAATAACTCTGCTTTGCATAATCTTGGATGCCCTAAACGAGTCCCTCCAGTGAATGATATAAACCTTGGAACTGTACTTTGTGAGGAAGGTGGATTCCTCCATGACGAAGTCGCCTCCTCCGATCACGGCCAAGGGCTTGTTCCTGAAGATTGGCGCCGCCCCATCACACACCTCACACGCCGAGATTCCCCTGTTCCAAAATCCCCCTAGGCTTCAGATGCTCCAAAGCATTGAATGTGAGTTATATCCCACATCGGTGGTTATTAGAGAATAAGGGGTAAAGTCGAGTCTATAAAAGAGGATAGGTTTCAGCAAATGAAAATAAAACCTGTTGAGTTTGAATTGAGCTTGAATTGAGCTCGAGTTTTGAGCTTCAATCGAGCTCTTAAATATTTTTTGAGTTCGAGCCTTTTCGATTTCGAGTCGAGTTTCAATATTTTCTTTCTAGTTCGAGTCGAGCTTGAAAATCTTAGGCTCGCGAGTTTTCGAGTCGAGTCGAGTTTACATATAAAGTTTTTGAGTTCGAGTCGAGCTTGGCAATACTTGAGCTCGATTCTGCTCGTTTACACCCCTATACATGACCAACGACAAACTAACTAAAAAATAAATGTCTTTAGGATCTTTGTGCAAACACCAACACTACTATAGAGGTATGCAAAAGAGGTACCAAAAGACATAAAAAAACGTGTCACAAAAACATAAAAAAACATGCCACAATAGTAAAAACGTATCTAAAGGATAAAGATTCTTATTTAAAATTGAAAAACTCAAGGAAAAAATGATAATTTAGGTTTAAAAAAAAGAGAATTTATATTTCTTAATTTCTGTATAAATTGAAGGACATGATGTCCTAACATTCATGATTCAACCCTTCTACACATAATTTAATTGTTCAAGCAAATGAATAGTTTATGAATTTTTTTAATTGATGATCAAAGCGCACATATATCTATAGAGATAATTAATTCAATAAAATTAAAATTAAAATTAATTTAAAATTCATAATTCGAGAATGATGCAATTAACAAAATAAAATTGAAAGATTAGAGCAACGAGGACTGCCCACAATTTTGATTGGTCCTATCTAAATCCATCTCTACCCAAACTTTAACTTGGGTTGGCTAATCTGTACGTAGGCCCTTTCCCCTATTATTGTAAGCTTCCCTTAAACATTGAAGACCATTTCGAAAGTCCCATCAAGACAAGTTTCTTTTATACTTATTAATATCATATTTTAGTCAATTTAAAATAAAAAATTCAAAGTAATTAATTTTTAACACCCAAATAAATTTTATAGTTAATTTGGGCTACAATTTTGATTAATTAAAATCCAATTGCATCTAAATAATTACTCACTTGAATAATATATACAATTAGGATCCACTTGCATATAGTGTAATTTTTTTAGTTTTATGCCGTTTTTAGAATCAGTAAATGGATGAAAATAGATGACTAAGATTAACTCTTGTTTTTTCTTTAAAATATTTTCTCAATTTTTACGGTTAATATAACATTTTTATTTTCACTCGTTCAACAATCCAAAAAAAAACTACAATTTTTTACGCAATAAAATAAACCATTAAAGTTTTTCTAATGATGTAGAATCGTCTATTATGATCAGTGTCATGACAAGACTTATATATCCATTCAAAGCGTGATATAGTTCCTCTGATATATTCTCAATGTTGTAGGTTTTTCTTTTCTTATACAAAGCATGAGAAGAGTTATTGGATACAATATTGTAGATCACTCTAGAAATGTACCACTAGAGATGGCATAATAGATCATTTTGAAGATGCACCATTGCCGATGTAACAGATTCTTCGCCCTCGTCCATACTCTGAACACAATCTAGTAGGAACTTAAGGAGATGCCTCAATAGAGCATGTCTATTTTTACGTATTTATTTATTACTATTATTTTACTGACATTGTCTTTGAAGAACATTTTCTTTTTGAGACAATATAAGCTCCTTTTTAAGGTACCAATAACGGGAGTGGCGGAGGTGTTTTAAATTTCTACACGAGTAATCGGTTCACGAATTCAATTATGATCTTGGTGTTAGACACGTACATAATTGTAAGTCTTCGATCATACCTAATAAAAAATGATCGATGTCGATTCTATCCGTCCGACAATTTTTTGTGAGAAACCAATATTTTTTTTGAACCATCACAAAATGAATTAGAAAAAGAGTTGTTCCAAATATAGTTGAATGTGGCAAAGAATCAAAGTAATTCATGACACCGGAGTTAATGCACATTCTTAATTAGTAATTTGAAACAAAGTTTTATAGCTTCGTTTTATTAGTTTTCCATAAATGAACATGTGAGTCATGTATAAAGAAAACGAAAACCTTACTTTCCAATGCATTGAAAAAGGATTAAAACCCATTCCTCACATGCAAGCAATGTGAACAATTATGGTAATGTCCATTAAAAGCTCTAACCACAACATGACTTTTTTGCCTTCATTTGCAATTTATTTCCAAGCTAATCAATCAAAGAAAAAGGAATACAATGACCCCATTGCGTAAAAGCAAGCTAAAAGCTTAACAGTAAACTATGGAAAATATATAATCACAAAAGAGAAGCAATGTAGAAGTGAACAACACCACGGCACCTTATGGTGGTCATGGTGGATCAATTTCATCCAATGACGAGTGAGATGTTTTTGGTATACAAGGGAGAGAGATAAGGACCAATTTCTACAGATTTTTGTACAACTGCCAAAGGGATTGATCAAAATAATATATAGGGTCGATAACTCGGAACACTACCATATAAAATGATATTATATGAAGAAAAAAATGAGTTGTTTTTCTCCATCTTTTTCTGTACGGAGGAGGACTAACACATGAAGCCACGGCGACAAGAAAGGGCGCCTGCATTTGAAGTAATTGTGCCAATTAAGGAAGATGACTTGGCCCCTAAGCTAGAGGCCCTCGCATAGCTGGCTGCCGAACCACTTCCCGATGGAGTGAAATACGCTCCGTTTAAGAACAAATCTCCTTCCGATCTCCAATTCCATTGTCTCCATTTGTTTCCGGTTTCCACTCTCTTCGTAACCTCTTTGGCAAAGGGGTTGAAAGGGGCGAGGTAACGGTTACCCTGGCTATTAATGGTCGGATTCGCGCTTCCGCCGATGGCGTACATTTCCCAATGTGTGTAGTCATTGTTCACTACATGGAAATATCCATGTCTACACCTGCACCATTTTTCAGTTGAGTCGAATTTATGTGAAAAAATGAATTAAGTAGAGACTCTTTTTAAGGATGTTTGTTTTTACCTTGGCATTCTTTGGATAAGACCCTCACCAAAATGATTATAAGCAATGGTCGCTTGCATCCTCTTGTCTCTTACGTAGGAATCACTATGTCCCAACAACATGACCTCGTTGTGGTGGGTGAAGTAGTTGTTTGATATGGTAATTGCAGTGGAACCCATTATGGCATCAATAAGTCCATCGGCACAGTTGGACAGTGAGTTATGGTCAATCCAAATATGGCTTGAGCTAAAGATCGAGATGCCGTCCCCATCGGCGATGGTCCTCCACCCGTAATGAGACGGGGAGCTTCGAACCATGGCGTTGCCAGTGGGCTTGCAGTCGTGAATGTGGATACCATGGATGATAACATTGGTGACATACTGGATGGTGATGCAGGCCCCATTGGTTATATGCACATTGGCACCACGGCCATCGATGGTCTTAAAACTGTTCATTATAAGCTCCTGCTTCAACCTAATCACCATGTCACGCTTGAACAAGATCCACAGCGGCCGGTCCTGGATAACAGCATGACGGAGGGTGCCTGGTTTGGGGTTCACAGGATCATCATCCCCGGGGTTACTCACAACATAGTACCTCCCATCACGGCCACCGATGGCGTTGCGTCCAAAACCGATAGCACAGTTCGCAAGGTGCTTTCTCCTGAGGTACCAACGCCGATCACATCTCCAGCAATCATCAATCGGGTTCCCTGTTCCACATGAGAAATATCCCAATCTCCTCCTCTCAGTACTGTTTCTTATGCTCCTGAAAAAAAAGGAATATAAACCAGATTAATTAAATGAACTAGAGTGAATTAAGCATGTGAAAAATTGGAATTAGGATGAAACAATGATGGACTATATTGATGTGTTGAAGAAGCATCAGTGGAGCTGAGTTGGCCATGTGACATTTCGTGGGAGATGTACATACGGTCCGTCCATACGGAGAATTCGATATATATAATAAAAATTGTTTGGTTTGGTTTGGTACATAAAGAAAATAATATGGAATGATAAGGTGGAAACTAATAGCTGCCTGCTCTTTTTTGGCGTCGGTGCCGCCATTAAAAACATTAAAATTAAATAGTTGGTGGCGGTGGCAATGAGGTTTGTCAGTTAATGCAGATCTAGGATCTGTGACAGTCTGCTCCTAAGGACCAGAATTTTCATTCATTCTAATTTTTTCTACTTAATTTAATTCAGGTTTAGAAAAAGTTCATCAAACCTGATAACTCGATTTGATCTAAATGTTTATATATATAATTATAGTTATAGTAGAATAAACTAAGGGCGAGGTGCCCGGATCTCAGGACAGGGTCATGTGATTAAGGTGGCGACAAAGTTAAAAGAAAAAGTACAATTTTGTACCAGTTGAGTTAAGAACATGGTAATAGTAATGGATTCCTCAAGAATCCCTAAAAATACCATTTTGGTGATTTCATGCATGAAATTAATACTACAACTTACTACCGGTTTATAAGTTAAAAGAGTTTTAATGAAGGTGGAGCAGAACACAAACTGGCAATCATTTATTAGGGTAGTTAAAGTAGAGATGTAAGAGAACACTATAGAGCAAGGGCTGGGTGAAGCTATTGCTCCATTGATTGCTACTGAAAGAATGGACCGAAGGGCGGGCGGAGGCGGTCGCCCTCTAAAAATTTAAAATTACTATAAATTTTAAATTTTTTTTATGTATTTCCAATTGAAAATCTTAAAAAAAATTTAGTTCACTGTCTGAAGGGAAATTTTAAGTAGTATCCCTTGAAATTTAGTTCGCCCCTGAAATTTTAGATCATTTCCCTTAAATTTAAGTTTACCCCTAATGTAAAATTCTTCTTCCTTCTCACTATTATTACAATCGCGATAAACATGATATATATGACAATACAATCACAGCTGTAATTTA